GAGAGAGAGAGAGAGAGAGAGAGAGAGAGAGAGAGAGAGAGAGAGAAAGAGAGAGAGAGGGGGGGAGGGAGAGAGAGGAAGGCCAAGGACACTCGTAAGGGCCTCCAAAAATCGAAACGAAGGGTAGCCGAGCGGGGAATTAAGAATCAGACTACGAGGACGCCGACAACGACGACGACGACGATGATGACGAAGACGATGACGACATAGACTACGACTAGTAGTTGTAACACGAAACTCCGTGGCGCCAAAGGCCACTTCTAAGCCGCTGCACTAATAATATCCCCCATTGTGCTACCATTAGCCACACAACTTACCGCCGCCGCCGCGCGTTTCTTCCCTCTTCTCACCTGCGCTCCTCTCTCCACTTTTTTCTCTCTCCTTTTTCCCTCCCGCTCTTCCGCAACTTCTCTTTTACGGTGACGCGTTTCTTCACGACACCGCGTATTAATATGCCGACTAACTGACGTCTGTTCGTAACAATGTTTTAGAGATACCTCCGGTTAAACCGCGGCCTTTTTCCACCGCCTCCTCTCTCTTTCCCTCTCTCCCTCCCTCTCTCTTTCTTCCTCTCTCTCTCTCTCTCTCTCTCTCAGCCCGTCGCAGGATAACCCGAGACGAGAGCAAAGGACGCCTGAAAGGCTTCTTTCAGGGGCGTTTATCGCGCGCCTATAATCTTCTTAGGGTTACAAACCGCCCGCTGTTTAGGTCATACAAATATTTATACGGTCGGCGCGATTCATTGTCGTTCCGGTCTGTCAGCAAGAATTTGACGGATCATCGTCAATATCGTCCGACCGATTCGCCGGAGATGATTCCGAGGTGACTTCGAAGCGGCAAGATGAGCGCCGTTGTAATTTGCCTTCGCAATTTTCTCCAATGAAAGCATCTCGGGTCGACTTCACGTCGTAGCGACGTGTTGCACCCTTCGAAGTCCGCGCACCCCCGCGCACTCGCAGTCTCGGAGAAATAATGCGCGCGTGACGCGACGATGTGCGAAATAAATTAACGCTTATCATACACGGTGCTCTTACAGGGTAATCCGTACGGACTGAAGGACGCGACGGGGATGGGCATGACGCCGGACATGGGTGCTGCCTGGGGTACGGCCGCCCTTCAACCTGCCCCCGCGGGTTACTACCCTTACGATTCAGCCCTGGCCGCCTACGGGTAAGTTTATCGCCAGGTTTCATGGTCTCTCGGCTCCATTAGATTAAACCACCACCGGGAGAGGGAGAGAGAGAGAGAAAGAGAGAAAGAGAGAGAGAGAGAGAGAGAGAGAGAACACCGGGACACCGCCTTTCCCCTCGACGACGGTCTCCCTGGTCTGCGTTACCTACCCCCACGCGCTGCCATTAAAGCAAGAGTCACGATCGCGTATTCGCCGCGACGTATATTCCGCCAGAAGCGTTTCCGCGCGACGACGGTTATCGTTATCGCGAATTCGTAATATCTCTCCCTCGTTCGCACACCTGGAGAGAAGCCCGCCGCTTATCGAGGCGTGCTCATTGTTTAAATTGCATCGGTAGTATCGCATCGACAAAGAAAGAGACAAGTCGCGTGGCTCCTGGAGGTCGATGAAAATCGCCCTTAGTCCCGAGATAATATCTGATTCCTTCATACGGTGTGTTTGACACGTCGAATATTCCTCTCTGATCTCGACAATCATTTGATACATCTAATATCGCGAGAGATACAAGCAGATACATCCAGCTCGCCGCGCAGGGACGCACTTGCGATTTCGGAGACAACGGATAATCGTCATCGATCGACCCGGCATTCGGTCATTCGGCGGTTGTCGCGATTTCCGAATTCTGTCGAGAGGGTTGAAGGTTCACCGGCTCGCTCGAGTTAGGCCAAACACAGCGGACGGCTACAAAATGGCTGTAGGCAGCCGAGTGGGCGTATATAATGGAGGCTTCCAGGTTGGACGTATATTCTACACGTGCACACACCCGCGCACACGTGCACACAGCTACACCGCGTACGCGCGCGGGTGAGCGGGCGGGCGGGCGTGCGCGCGCGCCCGCGCGCAAACACACGTATCGCCACATCGCGAGCGTAGGGAGAGCAGTAGGTCTCTCTCCGTAGGAGAGCGAGTGAGTGAGTTTATTGATTGGCTTCCTCCCCGGGGTTGGCTCGCCCGTTTGCCAGGCCTCTCTCTGCTCTGCTCTGTGCTCTGCTCTGCTCTGCTCTACTCCACTCTACTCTACTCTCGACTCCGTTCTTCTCTCTGCGTCTTCTTCCTTCTATGACTGTAAAGCCCTCTCTTTCTCTCTGTCTCTCCCTCTTCCTTGCCACCCCCGTTTGCCCATCCCTCCCGCGTGTTCTCCTCGCACGTACACTCTCCCCGCGTCCGTCTCTACTCCCTTTCGACTACTTCCCCGGCCACCTCCGTATCCTCCGAACGAGTCGGCTCCCACAGGTGCTTTACTTGCTTCGCTTAGCAACCCTCGTGTCCGCCTGGCGAACACACATATACACACACGCATTCACGCGCACATATACACACGCGTACATTCATGCCTCGACGTTCACGCATAGGCAGAGGCGCGCTCGCTGTGACTCACGCAACGGGAGGCTTTTCCCCTCCCTCTTCGGAACCACCCCTTCGGGTTATAGAGCTTGCATGTGCTCAACGGCGACGGCGGCGGCGCCTACCAGAGAAACTCCGACGGTAGGCATTGTTTATCGTGGAATTCAGCGCCCTTATTCTCCGCTTTCTCTCTCCCGTCTCCTCTCTCCCTCACTTGCCCTCTCAGTTTCTCTTTCTCTCTCTCTCTGTGTCTCGTTCTCTCGCCACTCCCGGACAAGCCTCTATTAATTTACTTGCTTAATAATACGACGGCCCTCTCTCGTTCTCTTCTCCCTCTCATCTCTCCAGCCGGTCGTCGCTCTCTTCCCTTTAACGGGTTACGTGCCCGTCACTTTCAACGCCGTCGGGCCGCTATTGTTTTACCGGCGGCGGCGGCGGCGGTGTTGAAAGTTGCGGACTGTTGTATGGCGACACAAGGAAGGGTGGGTGGTCGTGTGCGCGCGAGGGTGGAGGGTGTAAATTGAAGCGACTCGATTGGGACGCTCCGACGCGAACGCTCTGATTACAGGAAATGAGAAATACGTCGTTACCGGGCGAGCCCCGCAAAAGGGTTCCTTTGGGGGCACTTGGGGGTGTCTCTCTTTTTTCCTGCCTTTGCGCAAATTGATGGAGTTTCCTCTCTCCGTTTTTCCTCCGTTCGCGTCGTCGAGCCTTAACATTCTGTTGGTTATTATTGGATGATGAATGAGGAGTGTGTATATTCTTGTTCTCCGCGCGATAAGACATAATAATACGTACCGCAAATGCTTAAATTGTCAATAGAGATTCGATCACAGTCGTCGATTACCGATAACGACGCATTAACGCGAAAGTTTTTGCACCTCTATTTGTGGATCGGGAACTTTTACAGATCAATTCCGATCGTACTCTCTCGACAAAGCCACTGCGAGCTGAACGCCGTCGCGTTTTTCACCCGCTGAAAGATAGGACACCGTGTCAGCGAATGTGGGCTGCTACTAACTTAATTTTCACCCTATCGGGAGATACCGCTTTTTCTGTCGCGACGATCGCTTACAGGCATTGACTATGCTTGGGATCATAGAAATGCGCGGCCTTTTTCTCCACTAGGAATCGCCTTTGATTTCCCGTAACCGGTTACTCATTCTCTTCTCCTGTGACAGTTGTCCGGGGAAAGACGCCTGCGAACCGGTGCGATTCTGGAAAAATGGCACGCTGACGTATAGGGCACACGTGAGAGTTGCGCTTTGTCGGCCGACGTAGCAAAAAGATCACCCTGACATCTCGTGCTTTGATAAATCGTGCAGAATCAAACACGTCGTTGTAGAAGCTACCCCTGATGGTGCACTCTCCGTGAAATATTATTCGAGGTCGTCCAACACGCCAATTTGAACGAGAAACTCTGCCATGTCGTAACTTGGAATCAAAATTGTCAAAACAATATTGCCACCAAACAATCAGATCAAAGCTCCGTATTGCCACCTGACCGTCAAAAATAACGCCTGCATCCTTCCGAATTCTCTAACCCTATCTTCAGAGCTGCAAAATCGATGATTAGACGCAGGCAGCACATCGGCCCATCGTAGAATGCAGCGATCGCGAGTGCAGGGGGCGGGTCTTGTCGGCGGCACTATGGAGCAGACGCGCTCGTAAGCTATACGTACTTGTGCGAGAAACAGAGAGATAGACAGAGAGATAGAGACAGAGCAAGGGGTGAGAGAGGAGAGAGAGAGAGAGAGATACGTAGATTGGCTGGTCGGTCGGTAGGAAACGTTTGCACATCCGAACCCGGGCGTAACTATTGAAGCTATATATACACGGTTATACGAGGTTGGAGAACGTAATTACGCGCGTTCTGCCAATATTGGTTAACCTTTCGAGGTTGACGCCACCATATGCAAAGCCTCTAATGAGTCGCTCGAGTGCTGCCAGTGTCTAGTATTACGCGCTCCTCTATGCACCCTTTCACATCGTTATTACTCGCAGTAGATATTCGACGATCCTCCCCATCCTCCTTCCACTCCTCCTCCTCCTCCTTCTACTTCTGTCCCGTTTCTACCTGGGCCGTCGATGCCGCGTTTCACGTATAATGCGCTTCGCCACGTCCTTCTTTCTGCAATTCGCGTGTCACGCTTCTAAATCGACTTTAATCTCCCTCCATCCAGTCTATATAAAAATACGACGCGATAACCGGCAGTTTATTTCGTTATTACGCGCCAAATTACGAATCAATTTACCGTAACCAATACAGCAGCGCGTCTAACGTCGATGATTGCCGGCGGTACTCTCTGAACGACGATTGACCGATCACGAGCTGAGACGAGGTGTTCGGTCGCTTATAACTCGCTCGCCGATAACTTCGGATCAAGAAAAAGTTGATTCACTCAAACCAAAAAAATGCTTCAAGTTATATATTATAGAAATTTCATACTTATCGCAATAAAACGCATTCGCGTTTCGTGCGATTTTTCTGCATCACTCATGAAGTATTTGATACTAAATATCGCAATTTTGTACCTTATATTAGAAGAATTATAACCTTACAATAGAAAATAGATGACTATTGTTCCAGTGTAACTAAAAATCAATACTATCTAAATAAAAACTTACTATTACAAATAGTACATATTAGGAAACGCGGCATAAAAGAAACATGGCAGAGTAGTATCACGAAATTAATTTCAAATTAGCATTTATCATATAAATTTCGTAATAGTCATACAAAAATGAATTTATGAATTTTTGATGCGCCACCGAAAATACGCTCCTTGAACGTCCTGGCGTCTTGTACATATCTAATAAACTTGTTGAATGAACTCCTTAAAGCTCAAGATATTTTTACGCGAGCATCGTGACTTTTGATGATTGTAATTCACAGCTGGTAACCAAGATACGTCCGATTACGTTTATTTCGTCGGCGTAAATTGTGCGTTAGAAATTCAAGAATATACGCTGAATTCCCCGAGAACGTTCGCCGCACGGTTCCGCTTCAGCATCCAGAAGCACCGAGAGAAAGGGAGAGGGAGAGACAGAGAGGGAAGAGGGGGAGAGTGAAAGAGAGAGAGAGAGAGAGGGGAGGGAGGGATGGAAGAGGGGTAGGGAGAGAAAAACGATAAGAGCGTGTCGAAGAATTTTTACGATGGCAGATAACGTCATTCACTCGTGTAATCTACTAGGCTGTGTGAGCTTTCGCGCTATGAGCGCGGCGTACGCAGATTTTTATCCGCCTTCGTTTACAATCCCTCGGAATACATAAACCTCCATTTACGAGCCGCGCCGCTCATTGTACGTATCCGCCGTTTTAATTTACAACGACGTGCGTCACGAGCGATGCTCTCGCAGTCATGACGAGACGACGTGTCCCTTCCTCCCCCCCCCCCCCCCCCCCCCCCCCCCC